TTCCCGTCTTGTTCCAGTCCTGTTCCGGTCCTGATCCAGTCCTATTCCAGTTCCAGCCTGGCCGTTTAAGTCCAAAACACGTAGGAGCGGATGTCTGAATTCAGCGGAATGGAGATATACGCCGAAAGGGCTAGATGGATTCTGTCTTTTAAAGGGAAAGTGTTCTTCACCGTGCCGGCATAGCTGTTACTTTAAAGCACTTTGAAGTTTTTCCACCCAAGATGTTAAGTTTTTGTTTGTGATGTTAAGTTTTCATCAGTGTTGAAGTTCCAGTTAAATAAACCTTTAAGTTTTAGACAAGGTTTTTGTGTTTTCTTCAGAAAATTTTAGATTCGAAGTCAGATACAGCACATAGGATTATTATCGGAAAAATCAACAAATTGTTGATGACTTCTGGTCAGTGCTGATGCCAAAAAGCATTCATTGTTATTGAATAAAATCCCAGCGTTGGACAAATTAAATGGAAACAATTAAGATAACATTACACTAATATGTCCTTAAGAAGGGTTTAGTCTATCTAAAATAGTTCTAAAATCTTTAGATGTACTTACTCCTCAGTGACTTCTCTGAGATATCTGTAGCAATGGTTTTTCATTGCAGCATATATCGAATGATTTATCTCTGCTACAGAATTAGATAAAAAAAAGACCATGAGATATAAGAAGTTTTACCAACAATAGGATGTTTGGGCAGCATCATAGCAGCTGTTAATTGCCTCTTAAATAATCACTTGACCAAAGATCATGTGAAACATGTGGAAAAAAGTAGTCAAAATCTACTGTAAAATGTGTTACTGAATATCTATTTAAAGATTCATTACGGACTTCTCCTAAATAAGTTCAACGAAAACGGCACTCATTTGTAAAACGAAGGTGGGCGCTTCTATTAGGATATGGTGGACGTCGACTGTCATTATCAAGAACAATACGGCAGAATATGATAAAAGATTACATTTAGGGGTGGCAATTGTTAATGGCTTGAGTGCAAATGTAAATTCTTATGTCCTTGTTCATGAATTACTAAAGGGGAGAGTTAAACGTTTTGCTAAGCTTCATGCTTCTTGATTTACCTGGCTGATATTAACTATTATCTATTATTAAAATTTCTTCAAAATATTTTAATAGTTGTGTCTTAAAATCAAAATGTTCACTAAAAATATATTTTATGCCGAAATAATCATTATTTTCTCTAATTTTTAGATTCAATTAAAAAAATAATCATAAGTTTGTTGCACGTGGTTGCGGCTGTGTCCAATAACAAACTATGAGTATTGGAATTTGCCAGTACTTTTAAGGATGAATTCATAACATGCCATAAGAGCCAATTTTTAGATAACAAAAACATTTAATCACATCACAATAGTAAAACTTAATTAGTACAGTTGACAGACAATCACGTTGGTGGAAAGCGAGCGACCAACCGCGACAGACAAAGTAGACAGATGTCTTTTGTTGCACCCGCTAAGTCTTTCTGCACCGATGGGCGAAAAATCAAGCATAGGTGCGAAGGAAAGGTATATAGAAAGGGGGGCAATTTCGTATTTCAGAGGAGAGTAAAAAGGAACTTCGTATATTTTATACGAGTTCGAAAGGCCAGGAAGAAAAGATGGGACAAAATAAAAGTAAAAATAAATGGCCCAAAAAGTAATGGGGAGGGGAGGAAAAAAAATTATTTATAATTAATTTTAAAAAAGGGCCTATAGAAAGAAAAGGAAAGGAAGTAAGAGAATTTTGTTAAAAAAAAAAACACGATTGTGTTCATGAGTGTAGTCGAAAAGGGAGGAAGTTGTTATCATTTACAATTAAATACAGTCTTCCAGGTGTGTGTAATGAGTGTGTTTTGTAAAGCTGAATAGAGGTAAAGATGGGGGAAATTAAATATAATAAATAATAACATTTTGGGGATCCAGTCACATAACAGTATAAAGTAAAGTTTAGAAGCTAACTTTTGCTATAACAGGGAAACTAAAAATTTAAATTTTTATTTTAATTTAAACTTTTATTTTTTTAACATTGGAAAACCAAGGCTATTATGTTTGCCTCTACCTTGAGACACAGTAACAGAAGACACATAAGATCAGGGATACATATAATATCATGCAAAGTTATACATTAAACTAACATGTAACATCATCTATTGCGATTTCCAACATATTCATACATTTATTCAGAAAACACCATCAGATAAAATCATAAATCCAAAACAGGCGAGAACATATCAGCAAAAATAAATAAGTAAATAAATTACGGAGTTTTATTATTATTATTATTAATTAATTTTTTAAAAAAGTAAGCATTTTATTTATTTATTAAGTTAATGGTCATAATTTATTATATGTGTACTATTTTATCAATTTGAGGCACACTGTATTAATATATGCTTTTAATTTAAATAGATAGGAAATATAGATTAAAGGAGCAAAAACTACAACTCTGTACATTCCGACCAACCGCGACGTGACTGTGTGTCGCCGAAATCACCTTCGGTTACAGTTAGTGATAACGGCGCGCGGTTGGCGAGTACAACACAAGTTTACAGAGTCGCCACACTACTCCTCCTCCAGTGGCAATGAATTAAAGGTACCGAGGTTTAAATCGGACTCTACGTTCCGAACTTGTATGCTGAGGAGCACTTGTTTCAGGCACAGAAACTGATGTAGTAGCAGATGTTGGTGTAAACCCAATAGATGAAGGTGCCTTCGAAGGAAGTGGGACTGATGCACCAGTCTCGACAGTTTGTGGTGCTAAGATAAAGGCAGGTTTGAGACGATCAAGGCTCAACACTGTCTCTGTGTCGCCGATTAGTATCCGATAGTTCTTGGATGTGCGGCTTAGAACTGGGTGTGGGCCTGTATAGGTAGGCTCCAAGGACTTTTTTGATGCATCACACCGTATAAGAACACATGTGAGGATGTAGCGAGTTCTTTAGGAACAAACACAGGTCTTTAAGAATGTATGCTTGTGGGCTTAGGGTATAATGCAGCCATGGTTTCACGCAATTGTTTGAGGAATGCATGGGGCTGGACATTGGGTGAGTTTTTTGCAGAATTTATAAAATCTCCCGGTAAACGTAAATTGGTACCATAAACCATTTCAGCACTTGAAGAACCCAGTTCTCTTTGATAGCCGTTCTGAGTCCTAACAACTCAGTAGGAAGGACATCAACCCAGTGACTAGCAGTATGGCATCTAATGGCCTGTTTAAGAGAGCGATGGAACCTCTCGACAAGTCCATTGGAATTCGGGTGGTACGGTGATGTACGGATCTTTTTAGTTTCCAAGAATTTTGTTAATGCAGTAAATAATTGAGATTCGAACTGCCGTCCTTGGTCCGTGGTAACGTACTCGGGTACCCCAAACCATGAAATCTATACAGAAAAAAAAGTTTTTTCTGTATGGATTTCACGGTTTATGTATGGAAAATATGGAAAAAAAGGCCACAGTGTCGGCTGACATATCTACGATAGGGATAGCCTCTGGCCAACGTGTGTATCTGTGGACACACGTAAGAAGATATGTATAACCTAATGATGGGGGTAAGGGTCCAACCAAATCGATATGTACGTGGCTAAAGCGAGCAGATGGTAACTCAAAGCGTTGACATGGAGTTCGAGTGTGCCTGTGAATTTTTTATTTTTGACAGTCTGCACATGCTCTCGCCCATGCAGCGATGTCCTTCTGCATACGAGGCCATACAAAACGCTGTTGAATTAACGTGCGAGAAGCACGGATGCCAGGATGGGATAAATTATGGAGGCCACTAAAAATACCATGCCGGAATTTCAGTGGAATATATGGCCGCACCAAATTACCTTGCACATCGCAGTACAGTGAAAGATGTGGTTCTAACTGCATAGGTACTAAATTAAGTCCATGAGAAGACTTGTCAGACAAAAGATGTTGTAATTCTGGGTCCTGTTTCTGACATTCAGCAATGGCGGAGAAATCTGTTGTTGATGGCAACTGAACCTCTTCAATTCTGGACAAAGCATCAGCAACTGTATTTTGAGGGCCTTCTACATGCCTAAAATTGGTTGTAAACTGCGCTATGTAATCAAGATGACGCATTTCCCTGGGAGAAGCCTTGTCAGGCTTTTGTCGAAAGGCGAAAATTAGCGGTTTGTGGTCGGTATAGATAGAAAACACACCACCTTCTACCATATGACGAAAATGTTTAACAGCCTCATACGCACTAAGAAGTTCGCGGTCGAACATGCTGTATTTTGATTGCGCTGCAGAAAATGTTTTCGAGAAGAGAGCAAAGGCTTCCATGCTCCGTCTACCAGTTGCTGCAAAACCGCACCCATGGCCATATTAGACGCGTCAACCATTAATGCTAAAGAGTGCTTAGAAGGATAGCTAAGAGCTGTTGCCGATGCTAAGTCAATCTTACATTGTACAAAGGCTGTACAGGCATCATCAGACCAAATAATTGGCCGCGTACCTTTCTTTTTACTCCCAACCAAATATGTGTGCAAAGGTGCCTGCTTTTCAGCGGCATGAGGAAGAAAGCGACGATAAAAATTTAACATGGCCAGAAAACGACGCAGCTCCTGAACAGTTTTTGGCTCTGGAAAATTTTGAATTGCAGTGACTCTCTCACTAAGTGGGCGAACGCCCTCCGAAGAAACTTCGTGACCAAGAAATGACACTTTAGATTTCCCGAAAACACATTTTGATGGATTAATGACTACACCATAAGACTGAAATCGGATCGAATCGGCCAAGGAAAATCAAATGAAATCGAATCGGCCAAGGACTATGCAAAGGTGTTTAAGGTGCTGGTTTTCAGTTGTCGAGGCTACCAGAATGTCACCGAAATATGGGACACAAAAATCTAAATCTCGAAGGACTTCATTATTGAAGCTCTGAAACGTTTGCGCAGCGTTATATAACCCGAAAGTCATGACAGGAAATTCGAATAATCCAAAAGGTGTGATGACAGCAGTTTTTGGTATATCAGGTGGATTGACAGGGATCTGATGGTAAGCACGAGTCAAATCTAACGTAGAAAAAATATTTTTGCCTTCCAAGACTTGCATGCAGTCCTGAATATGAGGAACCGGATATCTATCAGGCAAAGTAACTGAATTAAGACGTCGATAATCCCCACAAGGACGCCAGTCGCCGTTTTTCTTAGGACCATGTGGAGTGGACTGGCCCATGAACTTTTAGATGGCCGACAGATTCCTTGCTCAAGCATGTATTTAAATTCTTCTTTTGCAGCCTTTAATTTCTCTGGAGGCAACCGCCGTGCTTTGGCAAAGATTGGTGGTCCAGTAGTCTCTATGACGTGTACAATACCGTGGTCAGCAGTCGGTTTGCCAGTTACTGAGCGGATGACGTTAGGGTATTGCTCAAGTAGTTTGTGGAAAGGAGAATTACCGGAAATTAATTTAATTCCAAAATTAGTGGCATTTCCAATACTACCTACCGCGGACAATTGTGTGATGGAGTCGAGTAAGCGTCGATTTTTAATGTCGACCAAAAGAGAAAATTTTTGCAGAAAGTCTGCACCAATTATTGGGTGCGAAACCGCAGCGATGACAAATGGCCATTGAAATTTGCGACGCAATCCTAGATCCAAAGACATTAATATTTCTCCATATGTTGCAATTTTTGATCCGTTAGCTGCAAATAAGTTAAATTTTCCAGGCGGCCGTTTGGATTCGGCAAGAGAGGGAGGTACAACCGAAATGTCAGCACCTGTATCAACAAGAAAACGTCTGCCTGATGGTTTATCTGTTACGAACAATCGACTAATGCACGGGCCGTTGTCACTCATGGCTTCGAGTGACGGCCCCTTCAGTTTAAAGAGGTCTTCTGAAATTTGCATGGAGGTGTACACTTGCGCGCTTTATCACCGAATCGGCTGTGATAGAAACAAATGTCTGATTGAGTACCAGAATGAGCGCGTTGGTATTCCCTATTATTTCGGTTCCGGGACTTTGATCTACCGCGCGGATGATACTGAGATCGTGTCTGTAAGGCTGCGACCTGCAATGATAATTCCTGGATTTGTTGTTGAAGAGATGAAATATCAACACTGGGATGCTGAACTTGACTGATTGCTTGTGGTTGGAGAACATCATGAATTTTGTCTGCCATTTGGGCCAGTTGGGGTAGGTTCTCGTTACTGGAGGCAAGAATAGCTTGGATATTGTTCGGGAGACGATTGAGCCACAATGATTGTAAAACATTGGACTTAAAATTGTCACCCGAAAGCTCCTGCATTTTTGACAATAACTGGGATGGGCGCATATCACAAAGTTGCAAATCTTGTAGTAACTGCTTTAGTTTGGTGTTTTCAGACTCCTCATAAACTGAAATTAATTTATTTTTCAATTCCTCGTATTTATTATCCGTGGGAGGTTTCAGAACAATCTCGCGTACTGACTGAAGAACCTCAGTACCTTGTACCTCCCTCTCAGTGTGGAGGGCGGAAATCGCAGTATAAAATTTCGTGTCATCACGTGTTATACACCCGAGCTTGAATTGTGCATCTAATTGAAAAAAAAAACAAAGGTTAGGGTTACTACGGCAAAATGGGGCAGGTTTCACAGCAACGCGAGCCATGTGTTTGTCACCAGTGGCTAGAGGATCGCTAGTACCCATATGAATAAATACAGATAACGAAAAAAAACGATATTTTAAGAATACTGTTGCAGTACACGTGAAGAAACACAAAATAATTAATGTTAGGACCTGGGTTCAAATGATCTAGAACATGAGAAATATAGGAAAAAACTCACCCGCTTGACGAATACATACGAATCCATGTGCGGAATAAAAGGTAGAAAATATCACCTTGATGTACAGAAATTATCCACTCGCTTGATGTTGGAACACTATCACTAATGGAAGATGAAGGTAATCCGCATGTCTGAAAGATGATCACAAATGGAAACATGAAGGTAATCCACGTGGCTGTAATATGATGAAACTGATGCACGATCCAATAGACACGATAAGTAATCCAATACATATAAGTAAAAAATATTGGTTCACCTGCATTTCGCACATTATTACAAGGTCTTGTATAAGCACAAAATTTCTGCTGTCCTGTAAATTTCGACGATTCATTTGGCTTAAGCCTCAACGTCCTGAAGTCATCATTTGTTGCACGTGGTTGCGGCACGTTGTTGCACACAACAAACTATGAGTATTGGAATTTGCCAGTGCTTTTAAGGATGAATTCATAATATGCCATAAGAGCCAATTTTTAGATAACAAAAACATTTAATCACATCACAATAGTAAAACTTAATTAGTACAGTTGACAGACAATCACATTGGAGGAAAGCGAGCGACCAACCGCACCAACGACGAGACGTTGTGTGTCACCGAAATCACCTTCGGTTACAGTTAGTCATAACGGCGCGCGGTTGGCGAGTACAACACAAGTTTACAGAGTCGGCACAAGTTGTTTTCCTAAAAACTAGATTAACAAAATTCAAGCTTATGATTTTATGAGACTTCATTTATTTTTGAAAACTAAGAATTTAAAATTTATGCCATGGCTAGTTAATAAATATTACCAGGCTATTTAATTGAAAGTGCATTCGTATATATTTTAAGTAAATTAATTTTTCATCTTTGTTTCAGAATCGCCTTAGGAGATCTTTTAATCGTGGTCCTCTGAGAGGCCCTGTTGTGACAAGAACTCAGGAACAAGTAATAGCCAAGCTTTCTCAACCCCGTATAGGAAATGTTGCTACAAGCACTGGTGCAACAGATAGCAAATGTGAAACTGAAGCGAAAAGTGGATTTCAAGCTCAGATGAATCATATGAATGGCTTGAGAAGTAACTGTATTCACTCACTTAACAGTGACATTTGCAGCAGTTGCACTGGTACTAAAGATCCTAGTTCTCAAATTCAAAATGGTATCATTCACAATAATGGACATTTAAATGGAATAGATGAGAGAGGTTTAATTGTCGATGGGCATTCTTGTGGCCCATTTCAACAAGCACAAAAAGATATTTCTGCAATGGTAATTCATCTAAAAAGGATATCCCAGTTGCCTTCGAAAATCCCCATTGTTGGCTCTGACGGAGATAAGTTTACTGCTGCAAAAGAGGCTTTGGTCAATGAATCGCGACAGTTTGTAACATCATCAAAACTTTTTGTGAAAAGTGCTATGGAATCGTCGGAGAAAATGATTGAAAACATGGCAATCTGCGTGGCTCTTTTAAATCGCATGACCGCTATTGGCGAGTTGGTTGTCATGAGAAGTTCTCCAGGTGAACCTGTTCTGTATCTTGTCGAAAGGCTAAGAGATGTGGCTATTGCATATTTTTATACAGTTGAAGCTGCCCAACAAGCAATCGGAACTAGAATTGATCATCCACAAATGGCAACTCTGATGCAACGTGCAACGACGCTGGCCACAGCTCTCACATCTCTTATGCGTACTTTGAGGGCAATGTCTGGGGTTTAGTAAAGGCAGCCAGTGTGGTATAATGTATTGTAGCCATCTGTGTAACAATGGCACTGGGGAAGATTGTGATATTATACTTCTAAGTACCGAGTGACCACGAAGTCCATTAGCAGTACATGTGAGACATGTGCTTGAAATGTTTATTCCCAAAGCATTGCTTAATATGTAATTTGCAGAAAGACTGTTCTATATGATTGTGGGTCCAAATCAAAAGTGTATGGCGAAAATGGCAATTCATTTTATATTTTTCATAGTAGATCTCATTTGAAAGGTTTCAATTTTCATGATAGTACATAAAAATTTTTTGTGAAACAAGTTAACTATCTGCAGTTTACTAAATCATAGATTTAAAAAAAAAGTTCCATTTAAAAATTAATTTTAAATCTTATTAGAGTAAAAGATAATTTTATCAAATAGATTCCTTAATGAATAGAGGTTATTAGAACCATTCGTAACTTATTATTTAAATGAGAAGGGGAACTTTTTTTCCTAAAATTCTTAATTAATAATTTTTATATAACTTTCCCATGTATAAAATATTATGAACACATGTGTACAAACAAAAGAAACTGAAGTTGATGTGGATGACAACTGCTTTATGGAAGCTCAGTCATGGAACTGCAATTTTAGACAAATGCATTAGTGTTCGTGTATAGTGAATACACATATCTGAAGACTTATGGGTGCGTTGTGTAATTAAAAATGCTATCACTGTATTTAAGAGAAGCTGTTACAAACCTTAAACAATTTATAATTACCTTGTTGAAATGTTTATATTTTTACTTATGTATAAATATTCATATATATTTACGAGATGGTTACTTGTACATAGTAAGCTAAAAAAAAAGTTGCATAGCTTATGCAGCAAGGTCACTATAATAGGCAATATATATATATATATATATATAAATCATCTTTCTATTTCAGTTTTATTACTTGTGTTTTGAATGTTTATGTTCTTTAAAACTAAAAGGAAGATCGTATTGGCTGGAATATAAGACGAAGAGAATGCACTTTTTAAAGTATTTCATAAGATAAAAAAAGAGCTTGTACATAAACCTCACATTTATAAACTTGATGTATTGAAAATATTCTACGAGACCATATATTCCACAAATACCGTACCTTTAAATTTAAAAACATGTTTAATTTATGTGGAAAATTTAAAGTAAATCACTATCTTCATATATTTTTAAATAATAGATTGTGCAAATAATCCAGATACCGTTTCAAGAGCATTTAAAAGAAAGTGCAATTGTCTTATGTTCGCCTCAATACGATAATAATTATTTGTCGATGAGAAACTAAAAAAGAGTCTTTAGCATTAGCTTAAACCTATAGCATTTAATTACTTAAATTTCCCATGATGTCTCCTTGGAATAAATTAAAATCTGACTTTTTTGAGCGGTTTGACCAACAAAAATGTAAATCATCAATTTGAAATTTCACTTTCCATAACATAGTTCGTTTACTTACCTCCTAATAGTGAGGTAATTCAGATATTTATAAATGCACTTGTATATTATAGTATTGTTTCTATTCAAAAAATGTCGGCCAGATGCAGAGTAAAACGTGTTTTTGTTAAATACTTGTAAATCTTGATGTGTTGACTGAGTGGCCATGCTGTATGTTTCAGTCGATTTCTTTTCAAGCCTCTAATAGAGGAATAATACTCCAACCATAATGCTTCATATGTCCCCATAGGCTAAAAAAATATAAAGGAAATATTCTGCATACCAAGCAGAATAAAACAAAACATTCCCTAATTTTTTTTAACTGCCATTCCCGAATTGGGCTTTCATCCACCAGCATATTAACAACACATCTATCTACATTTGATATCAAAAACGAAGAAACGGTTTAGGCTTCGTGTAGACGGCGGTTTTGTCGTCATAAAGCTTTGTGGTTCAAACCAAAAAGTCATTACAACCATTCACTCTTGTTTAGCAGAGTTTAAACCATAGCCAATCAGGGAAGGAAAGTCGCGCATGCGTAAATGTGTAGGTGACTCGGCGAAACCGTGGACCGATGTATGCCTCGCTGTAATCAGTGGTTCTTTTAGCAACTTGGCTTAAAGTTGAAAAGTTAGAATTTTTAGACAAAATCCTTAACCAAGTTCTTGTGACGTAGCAAGGTCTGGTTGCTTAGCAACGAAGCTCGGCTTTAACTTGTTATGACTTCACCGCGTGAGCGAAGTTTTATGGAGCGCTCACACGAACGCTTTCCGAGGCACAAGTGATATAAGCCGAATTCGGTTACTGAGCAACCAGACCTTTCTACATGACTGAAACTGGTATAAGATTTTGTCTTCATGTTTTACTTGTTCACCTTTATCCCAACCTGGTATAATCGTAGCAAAGGGAACATGATTTGACGTAAGATCGACAATTGCGCTGAGTCACCTGTACATTTATGCATGCGCAAATCTGGCTTCCCTGAATGGCTATGGTTTAAGCCATGTTCCTCAGACGGGAAAGAAGTTAATGCCTTTTACGCTTTAGAACTATGACATCTAGACCATAAGGTGTATGCTTCTTTACAAAGCCTTGCTTTGGGCTCTTTTCTTAAGTCGATGGAATATACCATATTTACTCTTGTGTCCCCCTCCCCCTCGTGTAGTTCATCTCTGCCAAATTTATGACAGTAAGGACATCTAGACCATCAGGTGTATGCTTCTTTACATAGCCTTGCTTTGGGCTCTTTTCTTAAATCGATGGAATATACCATATTTACTCTTGTGTACCCCCTCTTTTAGTTCATCTCTACCAAATTTAAAATACAGTTTCGGAACTTTTGATTTATTTGCATAAATTTTAACTTAACTGTCTAAACCCAGGAAGAGAACTGCTGCAGAAAAAAAATCCAGTTCCTAAAATTTAAACCCTTTAAAGCCATTACCAAAACTTTCATCCTTCTTCCTTAAGAAAGGAAAGCTGGTAGCCTTTAAATAAATATCCTGGAGACTAAACTCCAGGAGGTGTTAGCGTAGATGACGTAATGAATTAATGACTCCCTGAGTTTGGATGTCTGTCCGTTTTTGGAAATGGCAAAGTAGTTGCAACTGTGGAATATTACACTGTTATTCTTCTGCAGTCCACCCCATAATGGAATTCTGTAAGCACTGTAGATTCACTATGCAATTTTCATTTTGCTGTTATCCTTTTAAAATTTAT